AAATAATTAGAAGATTAACTAAAAACTAGTTAGTCCTGGGCATATTTGATTTTTAAAATTCAGATTGTAAGTATAGTCATATCTGTTTGATGGAAAATAAATTGGTATCTTTTATTGTGAGGAGAAATATTGTCTAGAATGAAACTCATCACTTTTCCTTCTGCAAATTTGCTTCTTTATTTGCTTTCCTTATCTCAGTTAAAGGTATCATCATCACACTCTGATGGTTCCTTTACCGTGCCCCAAATGGTTGTTAAAATAGTTGTCTAAAATAGTTTGTCTCATTACAGAATGCCTTTCAAGTCTGTCTCTGCTTGCATTGCCACCATCTTGAGCTCAAGCTTTCAGTCGTGTAACTAAACTTTTTAGTTACTGGTTTCTTCCTGTACTGCTGACAGAAAGTGGTCTTTCCAAAATAGAGCTAATTCTGTCTGCGCCCTGCTTAAAATCCTGTCGTTTCTCCCTGGTGATGACAGGATAGTATGCCGTGTATGGCTCTACTTCCTGCCTACCTCTCTGTCTTCATTTCCAGTCACTTCCTTTTATCCTTCACACCCTACGACATAACATTCCAACTCCATTTTGCTGACTATTGCATGCTTCTTTATACCTCAGACATTTCTCTGTCACCTGGAATGACCTTCCCTTATTTCCAGTTTTTGCTTAGATAGGCTCAGCATTATCCAACTTAAATGTCACATTCCCCATAACTTCTTCTCCTAGACACAGTTGCTTAATACCCTTCCTGTGCTTCTCACACTGCGTTCTCTATGAACCCCTTAAGATTCCCTATCATGATTATTTGCTCACATTATCTGCCCCACATCCCACTTAGTACCTACCATGGTGTCAGGCACATTAGAAATACGCTTGGTAAATGTTTTTTGAATGAATTCAGATCTTATTCTAAAAAATGATGTTGTTATTATTGCTCAAAATGTAATTTTTATCTACAGTTAATAATGATTTATAGGTTTATTGATTCAATTAATATTTATTGATTATATATTCAAAGCAATCATAGATGTCTGTCAGAGTCTCCTCTCTTGGATCCTTACTTCAAGAAAACTTTAACATTTAAAAGATGAGTTCCATATAAGAGCATTATTTCTTGTCCCTAGAACATGTGATATTCTTCATCTCCCACCATGAGGAACATTCTGCTAGAGATGGAATTTTTCAACAGTATTTTAAAACTTTAGGGCTCTTTTAACTTGATATTCAATTCAACAGATGTAAAAAGTTAGACCCACAGATTGAGTCTGACAGTTCTTTATTAAAATAATATCATTGTACCTTTTAGTAGTGTTTGTATTAAATAAAGATAGCTTTGTCCCAAAGGCCAAGCTTCTAACTTTATACTCATTTTGGAGATTTCTTATCTGGTTTATCATTTGTGGGGGCAGTTTTTTGTTTTGTTTTGTTTTATCTTGTTTTTTTAGTGGGGAGGGAGTGTCATTCTGAAAGTAGAAATTGACTTCCTATCCCTAGTCAGTGTGAACCCAAAAGAACTGCCAGTTTTTTTGGATAATGGTTTACTCAGCTATATCAGTTTTATTTACTGCCTGGATCTGGACCACCTCAAGTTTGTCCAGCTAATTAATCTTCTCAAGTACTTGTATCTTAGCCACTCAGTGAGCTGACTTCATCTTTCAACAATGTAGTTCATAATATATTCAAAAGCTCTTAATGGACGGTTTCCTTACTGTTAAAGTATCTCCCAAATATACAAGCCTCTTTCCTCTTAAGCCCTCACACATTTATTGTCTACATTCCAGGTGTTCATTTTATACTGGTAAGCTATATGGTTTGCAGTACTGAATCAGTAATTCTGGTTAGAATATTTATTCCAGCAAACATACATATTTTCTGGCGAAAATATTCTATTACTTTGCCCATACTCCTAACTGTATTTTTGCTGGGGAGGCACATATGTACAGCTCCTTTGGGGGCTACTTCTTACTTAACAAGGCACACACACACAGATTGTCATGATAGAATAGGAATGCTATAAATAGTCCTTAGTATCATTTCTCCCATTTTATAACTTGCTTTAAATTTTTCCTTTTGTCTTTCAAAACCGTATAATTTTCTTTCTTTCAATCTTAATCTATCTTTGATTTTTACCCTAGCCCTTCAGTACACTTTTAAACACTCTTATAGTCTGTTCATCCATCCCCCAAGCTATACAAGTTTTTTTCAGATTTTCTCTTTGTTCTCTGCTTCGTGTGTGCTTTTCACTTAAGCTATTACTTTTTGTTCCCATGTCTGACCACAATAAGTTACTTTGACCAGGAAAACTGTCAAAATCATTCAACTTTGAATTGACCATTATGACCAGTCTCATAAGCATATATTGCCATATTATTAATGCCAAACTATTTATGTAGCTCTGCAGCAAACAGAATGGGCTTTGAGTTGGATGACTTGAATTTGGGTCCCAATTCCACCAGTTACTGAATGACACACCTTTGGCTAGCCGCCAAATCTCTTCAATTTTTATGTATCAAATGAAGTAGTTATAACTAGTTTAAACAGTTATTAAGAGATTCAAATGAGATAGCATATATGTAAGTTATCTGTAAATTCTAAAGCTCTATAAAAATTTTATATAATCTTAATTTGAATTAAAATATGGGCACTTGGGAAGGTATAAATAATAACTTATTTATTACTGTAAACTCCTTAGTACTAACACTATATTTTGCTCATAAGTGGAGATATCAAATGAATTAATTTGATTATGAATTTTTTGTGACATACAAAAAGGATACAGTCAAACTTTTTGAGACATACACTTGTAAAATGTTTGTCTTATTCATATACAGCTTAAGAGTTACTTATAGCATCATTCAGTGGTTGTATTTTCATTATCTCTAGTAAAACATTGAGTTTACCTCTTTTTTTTTTAGTAATACTCCCAACCAAAGTGATTATGTAATTTTTGAAGATAGATCTTTCAAATTTGCCTCTGCTTGTGTTCTCATTGTCACATTTAGTTTTTCTTTGCTTTTGGGAAAATCCATTTGTTCCTTCTGTCCAAAACTAATTAGACAAAACACATGAGTAAAGGTGTGAGGTTCTATGGACTTGAAATCACAATGGCCTTTTACAAAATACTGAGAGCACTGTTTGCAAATTGCAATTTTGCTATTGTATCAATTTTTTGTCATTCCTTTTGAACAAAGCATTAATGAAGCATTTGTTTATATTTTTCTTATGATGGAATGATAGTATTTGTAAAAACTATAAATGTTCTTGTTACATAGTAGTTTTTTAAAAGTTCATTTAAAAAATTGACTTCTGAGAAATGAATGCAATTTCATATTTTTCCTAATTTTACTTCAATTTGTTACATATTTAAAAACTCATACACAGAATATATGTGAATAATTCTTTATATCAAAGCCTTATTGTCTAAATTTACATGAGTTTAATTATGATCATTTGGCCTTTTACTTCTTTTCTCTTTGTCAGAATTCAAATCTTTGAGTAGCCAACAGGTGATACATGTCCCATTAATCTTTCTGACTCCCTAGAACTTGAGCATGAGAATTGCTGATCGATTACACCAATTGTCTCTTAAATGAGCTTCTCACATCTGCCTCTTATTTCATTAGTTAACTGTCTGCCCAAAGATCTGATGAGATGGAACACTACTATGTTTTTATAGCTTGTTCTGTCGGTCGGTACAATGAGGAGATAGGGTCGTTAGCAAAACGGGCACAAAAGGGTGTCTATCCACTACCTACAGTAAATATACATGCTTGTGTCTAGAAGGCATTTGAGACTGTTTATTGAAATCACCTTAAGAAACAATAACTGGTTTCACTTCGACTTTCCATTTAGCAACAAATAATGTTAAGACCATGGCCTTTCTTACTGTATGATGCTTTTACTAATTACATTTATCATCAAAGGAAGAAAAATGATAGCATTTCTAAAAACTATGAATGTTCTTGTTATATCGAAGTTATTTTTGAAAGAGGAAAAAATATATTTATTAAGTTACTTTAATTTTAAAAGCAGTGAAAAACTTTAGAAAATATTTTTAAATTACCAAACATCATAATTAACTTACTCTCAGCAGCTTTATTAATACTTGATTACCTCATTCTCTATGTTGGCACTTCAAAAAACTACCAATTAAGATCTGCTTTCTTATCATATACATTGTTATACAGCAGTCATACTTTTAATTGGAAAAAATCTTGATAACTTTTCATCAATACATATAATAAGAATTAATGTTTAAACTCTTTATAGGAAGAATACGTTCTTAACCTGTAGAATGGGAATAATAATACTGTGTCACAGAGTGTAATGATAATTAAATGAGACCATGCACATAAGGCACTGTGCCAATGTGTTAAATATTGCCCAGCACATAGTAAGTGATCAATGAGTAGTAGCCATTATTACATAGACATTATTACAGCCATTTTTTTTCTTCTGCTATCTATTTGGGGAGATTGGAAGTATAACAGTGCAATATTTTATAAGCATTGATTGATGTGTTAATCATACATTCTTTTTTATTATTTTTAAAATTATTTAATAACTGATAAGCTGTGGAAATTACCTGTTTGTAAATTAATTTTGTCTTTTGGAACAAAATTTAGGCAGAACTTCAATGATTATTGTTCTTTGCTCCAAGGAAACAACCATATAATAAATGTCATTGGAGTAATAGCAGCTATACATAGCTCATCGATTTTACTAACCTTCCCCATTTTGTTTAAATGTAAGAAATGCCTCAACCAAATAAACAACCAAAGCATGAAGTCAGTTGTCAAGTATTTTCACATCATCTTGTGTATCTGAATAGTTTTAAATTATTGTTAAAAATGTATGTTAGGTGAATATTTTCATTCAGTTTACCCTAGGAATTCTATTTAAAAGAAAGCTTTTTTATACATTAAAATTATATAATGAATTAACTCAGAATGGTAATTTCTACCATTGTAATTTCATTTTGTTTTAACCTTTCTTTGTTGTAGGCCTTGTTTGTATGAAGTCCAGCACATCTGTGGTTGAGCTTGTTATGCTGCTTTGTTCTCAGGTACAAAATCTCATTCACTCAATTACATTAATATATGAGGACTTTTGTGACTAATAATAAAAAGTACGTGCATGTAAGTGTATGTTTATATATTTATAACATTTCCATCTATTATCCCATAGATGGAGAAAATTATTTACATTGAGTTATATTAGTATATAGATTATCTTACCATGTAAATATTGACTTATTCTCCCTCTCCCTTCTTCTACTCTTTTTAGCAGTATTATTCTCCTACCCTTTCAATTCTTCCATTGTTTCCTATCATATATATGTATATAAAATACATATATAATGCATATATAAACATCATAATTTATAATTTTTAAATGTATTATTAATTACATTGTTTCTTTCTTCTTCTCTATTATATTTGAGATAATGAAAAGTAAGTTTTTTAATTGCATGCCCAAAGTGTATGATATAGCTTAAGACCTTGCTGCTTTCTCTTTTTTTAAGTGTAATTTGTATATGTCAGTATAAATTCTAAAAATCTACTTGAGCTGTTTATCTTTAATAATCAGAATCAAAGATAAATGGTAATTGTTGGGTATTGTTTCTTCTTAACAATTACAGAGAAACCAAAAATAAATGTAAATATATTTTCTGATTACTTAAATAGAAACCTATTGGTCTTTCTTCTCACCAGCTCTGTCAGGTCTCCTAGTAGTCCTGATTATCCTGATTATCATATTAGTGTTAAATATTCCGTAATGTCAGAATGAAATAAGAACTTGTGTATGTTTGTAATAAGCAGTTATTACCTTTATTCATAGTTTCCCCAGTAGAAAGAAACATATATCTAAGCTCTTCGTAATTACTGGCCTGAGGTTTGCTTAAAGCTATAGCTAACTCGCAAATAAACAACAATATGAATTCGAGTGATCCTCTAAAACATCAGCAAAACTAAACAAAACAAACGAAAAACTTACCAATTGATATTCAGTTTTCAGGTTTACTTTCTTCAAGAATATATTCCTAGGAAAATCGTTAGGCCCATGTTCCTCATTATAGCCAGGAACAATATTGATAAGGAAGAGGTTAAAGAAAGCAGCATCCCTGTGAGGAGCTCATCTGCAGGGCATTTGAAAATGTTGTCACCTACTGTTGAAGTCCTGAGTTCGAGAGACTATCTGGATCTTTTCGATTCATAATAATGCACAGTTCTGTAAAATGCTTTAATGGAAAAATAGCTTAGAATTCCTTCTTCTATAGCCCTGTGTTTCACTGCTGTTCAGAGAAATAAAGAGGAATGTAGCATTAAGATCTAGTGTCTTTGATGGCCTCATCATCTAATCATAGGTTTAACATTACTCATTTGCTGGCTCCAGGAATTCCTGCCATTAAGGGCCCTAGAGATGAAACTTTGCCTCAGATATTGATTGAAAGGAAGAGTGAGAAATTTAAGCTCTCCATGCAGTGCACTTTCTTTCAGTGTTGCAGCAAAGCAATATTATAAACATGCCTCTTGATTTGATTTTTAAGTTGAATTTTTAAAATCAGTTTTTAAAATATTTCAAGTATTTAATTGATTAAATGCACCTCATTTAAGTAAATTAAAAATATATGCTTATTCTTTAAAATAGCTCCCAATTGTTTTTGTTGTTTTCTGTTTAACTGAAATAATGCTTTCCACTAAATATTTTTAATGAAACAAATAATCCTCCTTTATTCCTATTCGGGAAGATAAGTTTACCATTTTACTGTGAAATTAAGCTTCTAGAACTATCTTTGTAGATCATTAATTGCTTCATGTATGTTTGAAATCATGTCTTTAGTTGTAAACATGTCTTCAAAGTTTCTTAAAATGATGTGCCATTTTTCTATACTACTTAAATGCAAGATGATTTACATCCTATTTTCATCCATTAACAGGGCAACATAGCAGTAGCATACCTCTGAAAAGAGAAATAAATACAGTTAATGATGCTGTGGAGACTGCTTGGCATAGCTCTCTCCAAAGCAGTTCTTCTACAGCCCTTAATGCATCTCTTATAGAATGAAGCACAGTCCCTGTAGAATTAGTATAGTTCTGTAGGCCATCTTTGTGCCAAGGCAGTAGGTAATCCTGATGACTCTTGAAAGCTGCAGAGTTCTGAGTACTTTTTGTTTTACTCTACAGACAGCCTTTTGTAAGTCTTGATAGCTCCATGTTATTATCATGAGCAGTATTAATACTAATAAAAATAGTTGAAAATCTGAATGAATAGCTTTAAGTTACTATCTTGATATACTATGTATATATTTTTTCCACAGTGAGAAATCAAACTAAGATCTTATTCATATTGTAATTTAATGCTGGTTAGAATAAGTTAGAATTCTGCAAATGGAATTTTTAATGTATTTATTTGTATAAAATATGCTTTTCTTTTTCCAAATTTAGATAAGCCATTGAAAGATAAAAATTTTTTGAGAGACCAGGCAGCTAAGTATTAAAAAGGGAAAAGAAAATGCAATATTGGGTTTTTTATAGGATTTTGTTTTTCTTTGCTACAACACATTAGATGGATTTTGTTTTTATGCTTCTCATTTTCATTTTGGAAATTTCCTGTTAGCAACTACATATTATTAAGGATATTAGCTTTTCTTTCTTATCTGAGCTCCTGAATAAACTTACTATTGCTAATAGTTTGTGCCCAAAATATGGTCTAAATTTACATGAGATCATATTACAAGTGTCTGAAGGTACTTGTCAAGGATAATTCAGTTCATATGGGCAAACTTTTAAACTCCAAGGGATGTATATCCAGTCTACCCCCCAGTGTAATTTTACATCTTTGTGGAAAATGTATTTAAGTCTTAAGAAGAAGCTGTTAATATTATCATTATGATATATTTATCATTCCACAAATACCCAAAACATTTTTTACTGTATTCTGGATTTTTTTCTGATATAGATTTTATGATACAAATATATTTATTCTTCTTCACTTTTCTTTTGTATTAAAGTTGACGTTAGTAGCATTTTAAAAATTGGTTTCATATCATTTTGAAGTGAAATGAACTAAAGTAAAAAACTTAGTATCAAATCAGAGCTTAATTAGGGAGTACAATGTCTTTTACAGATTCTTCAGTATATCAGAGGTCTGATACTATCTTTTATCATAGCTTTTAAAAAAAGTTTTATAATTAGATAAGGTTGAGGTGCTTATTCTCTATGTGTACTTATTTGTTTATTACATTATTTTTACCATATTGTGCTCCTTGATGAATAGCAGATTTAGTTTTCAAGTAAACTTCTTTAGGTACTATAATAGTTCCTAATTACTTCCAGATTTTTTAAGGAAGTCTCCATAAGATATACTGCAGGAAAAATGGACTGATGTTATCCCATAGCATTTCTTTAAGTTTTTGTAAGTAAAGCTTAGCAGATGTCACTTGCATTTTTCTGTGCCTTATCTGCCAATAGAAAATATTTTATAAATTGAGAAACTGTATATTTAAAAAATTCTTAGTATTTAAGCGCTTTCTGACTGGAGGCAATGATTAAGCAAATGCATGTTTAGTAAGTCATTTCTACTCTCACTGAAAACCTAAAGATGTATAAGTAATATAAAGTAATAGGCCTGCAAAATGAATTATTTTGTGGTTTGTTTGAATTTACTTTTTTCTAAATACCTCATATACTTAAATAAAAAGAATTTTAGTGACTTCACTGATATGATCAAAGCGTTAACCCAGGGCTTCTAAAGACAGCACTTATAAAAGAACCACAACTAAAGAACAATCTTTTTTTTTTTTTTTTGATTTGGCCTTTGAACATTTGCATTTTTCATTTTTTCTCCAGTTTGATATAGTTGAGTCCAAATATACACAAGGAAAAGAAGTACACTTTTCTTATGGCTAAATGGCTATAAACCCTGTGAGACTGAGGTTCAAAGACATAGATAAAGAACATAGAGGCCTATATAAAAAAATCATTCAATTGTAATAGTACTCCAATAGGGGAAGGATTTTTGGTGTAATGTAGTAAGATTTTCAAATACAAGAAAACAACCAGGGATGGATTAGATGTTCTTTTCCCCTTGTCTTGTTACGAGAATATCATGAATGTGCGTAACTTATCATGATGAATGTATGTCACATTAATTTTGTAGTTATTAGAGTGACTTACGTTTTTAACGCAGTTTGATGGTTACTAAGACTTAACGACATTGTTCCCTTTCCTCACGTTGTGAGTATTTCGTGAATTGCCAGTTTTGAAGATGAATTTGAATTCCCAGTTCAACGAACGGATAAAGAAATTATGCCTCGATACCTTAAAATGAATATCAATGAGCAATATACGCTTTGTGTGTGTTCAGTAAATGAGGTCCCTATGTTGACAACAATAAGAATTGTCATGGAAAGGTTATTGGAGCGAATAAAAATGAGCCTGAACGTGGAGGTATTTATTCCAGCACTAAGCGAGAAGGAACTGGGCTGAGAGAACAGCCTGACCCTAGTTTCTTCAGAAACCTGAGGTCTGGAGAGGAAGACGTCTCTATTCCCTCTTCAGATTGGATTAGACATTCAGCAGCGTGTGTAATCTTTGGCTCTCTTGGGCCACATTGAAACGAATGATATTGGGCCACACAGTACACTCACTAACACTAAGGACCCGCTGTGAAACTAAAAAAAAAAAAACAAAAAAAAATAAGTCTTGGTCTCCCACTGTTGTTAAAAAAGTTGTACGAATTTGTTTGGGCCGCATTCAAGAGCTGTCCTGGGCCACATGCAGCCATTGGCCACTAGCTTGATAAAAAGTTGTGTTACCTGCTCAAGCCAGTTACCAGCCTCATTTACAACACATCAGAAATTAAGTAGCCATATGTGATTAAGGTAGAGGGATAGCAAAAACAATTTTTTAAAAAATTGGAAAATTTAAAATACAACAGTAGAAATTAAGTGGCCAGGCAATATATAATATTTATTTGTTTACCTAGGCAGTGTGTAATACAATACCTTCCTCAAGAGTATTTTTAATATAAAATATTGTAGTGTGTTAATAGTATAGAATT